TCGCTATGACACAACTCCTAACAAAGGCCAAGTGTAACCAATGAAAGGGACTGCAGTATAGTGGCTCAAGTAATAAATATCGAATCCACGGGTCTCTAGAGTTACAATTACTCAGCTTCAGTTCATTATCTAGCAAACCAGATTAAGATAGAACAACTAAAACTACTCTAGCAAACTACAGTTAAAGTTAATCTAATTACAGGTTCGGAACTCACTTAGGTATGATTCCCCCTAGCCACTAGCTAGATTAATGATTGATGATCTCTAACCTGTTTCAATTTCATTCACAATGCGGAGAATCCTTAACTAGACCCTGAGTCTCGACTACAAGAACAAGGCCCTCTTGAGTCAATTGCCTAGAGGGACGTATCCTTCTCTAGAACAAACGATCAAGGCGTTCTGAACTAGATTCCCTCTATCGAATGAGGTTATCAATCGATAAAAAAGCATTGAATCGACCCTCGACTAAAGCAATCGATCCAATACTATCAATCTAGGACGCTCTATTGACCTAATCAGGTATTCGCTCTCATAGGATCAAAGCATAATCAATAATCTCGACTAAAGCATAATTGAATCATGAAAACATGCATAGATTGAATATGAACTCAAGATTATCAAGTAAAAGTACTCATACAATCATCCAATCAAACAAACATAGATAGGTTCCTCGAAACCAAAGTGAAGGGATGTTACTCCATAGAGAAGAGAGAGACTGCATTAAGAATCTTCAGATGATCAGTCTTCAAGTCCGGGCTTGTACCTCGAGCTTCCAAGGCAAAGAAATCCTCCAATTCCACTCCAAGAGTGCCCTCAAATCGACCTATCTCTCTCTCTTTGGTTCGTCCCATGGGTGTTTGGGATCCAAAACCCAGCTCTCCCCCTCCAAAAATACACAAAACAGGCTTTTAACAGCCTGCGTTCGCGAAACCCGGTCCAAATACCCAATCGGGTATTTAGGGAACTGGTCGGGTATCAACAAAATGCTCCGGGTCACTTTTCTGGGCAAAAAGGAAAATACCCGGTCGGGTATTTTTGGTTCACGACAGGGGGGCCTTCTGAAGCTGCCAAAAATACCCTATCAGATGGTCAAAATACTTGGTAGGGTATTTTGGTCGGGTATTTTGTAGTTCCGGGTCCCCTATCTTTGTTTCTTCGTTTCTCCCTCGTTCGGACTCCGAATAGGGTGTCGTTTGATCCCAGACGCTTGTAGTCTCGTCCTCTTTCTTATCATGATAGCTTACATGATTCTATGGTTACATAGTGAGGTAGAAATCTATTCTTCTTCAGGTTATGCCCGAGTTTCATCCCCCGAGTTGCCAATTGATATCCGATTGACTTGAAACTTGCGCCTATGCTTCACTTTATGTGCTAGGACCTGAAATGTGACAAATGAAAACAACCTAGCGTAAAATAGGCCAAAGAAGCGATAATGCAAGCTTAAACGATCAAGAAGGAGAGCGAAAAACATGCGCAAATATCGAGTCATCAAGACCTGAATTTATCAAAAGCGAAGATTACTGCCAACAACACTTTCTCTGTGGTTGTGTAGTTCTCTAGAGCATCATTCAGAGTCTTTGAGGCGTAGCAAATAGGTTGAAAATATCTACCCCGCCTTTGACCTAAAACCGCTCCCACTGCATAGTCACTAGCATCACACATGAGCTCGAAGGGAAGGTTCCAATCCGGTGAGACCATTATGGGGGCATTTGTAAGCTTCTCTTTCAGAATGTTGAAAGCTTTAAAACATTCCTTTTTGAAAAGGAATGGGACATCCTTCTCCAAAAGTTTGGTCAAGGGCAATGCAATCTTCGAGAAGTTCTCGACAAAACGTCGTATGCCCAAGGAAACTCCTGATGCCCTTCACTGTGGTTGGAGGAGGGAGCTTGCTTATTGTCTCAACTTTGGTTCGATCCATCTCAATCCCTCGCTTGGAGATTTTGTGACCCAACACAATGCCCTCCCGGACCATAAAATGTGACTTCTCCCAACTCAAAGCTATATTGGTTTCTTCACACTGCTCAAGGACCTTCTCCAAGTTGGCCAGAGAATGAGAGAATGAATCTCCGAACACTGAGAAGTCGTCCATGAACACTTCCATTATCTCCCCAACTAGCTTATCAAAGATGGCTACCATGCATCTCTGGAATGTCGTCGGGCCATTGCACAATCCAAACGGGATGCACCGGTAAGCAAAGGTTCCAAAGGGGCATGTGAATGTTGTCTTGGCTTGATCTTCTGGGGCAATTGGAATATGGAAGTATCCTGACATCCCATCTAGAAAGAAATAGTAACCATGTCCAGCGAGTCTCTCCAAGATTTGATCGATGAAAGGTAGAGGTAAGTGATCTTTACGAGTGGCTTCGTTCAATCTTCGACAGTCAATGCACACCCTCCACTCCGTCACCGTTCTTGTTGGTATAAGCTCTTCCTTTTCATTGGCTACCACTGTCATTCCTCCCTTCTTAGGGACCAACTGGGTTGGACTCACCCACTGGCTATCCGAGATAGGGTAGATAATCCCAGCATCCAGTAGCTTGATCACTTCTGCTTTAACTACTTCTTCCAGATTAGGATTCACTCGCCTCTGCGGTTGCCGAACCGGTTTAGCTCCCTCTTCCAGGTGTGTGAACAAAATTTTGGCCCAATTCCCCGGATATATGTGATCTTCCATGCGATCGCCCTCTCGTGACGCCTTAAAACCCCAATTAATTCTGCCTTCTGCTCTGGTGTAAGATTGGCGTTGTTGACAACTGGGAGCTTCCCATCATCCCTCAAAAAAGCGTATTCGAGGTGAGGAGGCAGTGGTTTCAATTCCAACTCGGGGGTTTCCTACAAAGAGGTAGGGATCTTGGGCATTGAGGGTAGGGCCTCCACTTCTTGATCTTGCATGGATTGGTTTCCAGTCTTCGGGGAGTCCGGGGCATCCATTCCTACCAAACAACACTCCTCAAAAGGTCAGAAGTAAGGGCACCGGCGGATGCGGGTGTCTCCATAAAGTCAAAAACCTCTTCGTAGTAATCAAAATCATCATGGCAACGAGACAACCGCATGCTATCATCAATAGACAATGTAACCTCCTCCTCTCCTGCCCTAAGCACCAACCTTCCCCCACGCACATTAATCAAAGCCTTGGTGGTGGCTAAGAAAGGTCTACCCAAGATGAGGGAGACCTCAACGTTCTCATCAATGTCTAAGATAACAAAGTCGACAGGATAAACGAGAGGTCCCACTTTAATGAGCAAATCCTCCACAACACCTTTAGGTCGTACTATAGACCTATCTGCCAATTGAATGTGCATCCTAGTTGCTCTAAGTTCTCCTAGGTCTAACTTTTGAAACAATTTATAGGGCATCACATTAATGCTAGCTCCTAAATACGCCACAGACTTTCCTATACACACGTCACCAATAAAGCAAGGGATAGTGAAACTCCCTAGATCTTTACGCTTCGTAGGCAAGTGGTTCTGCAAGAGGGCGGAGCATTCCTCATTCAAGCTCACCGTAGCTACCCCTTTCTAGCTTTTTCTTGTTGGTGAGGAGGTCTTTCAATTATTTTGCGTACTTGGGCATTTGGGTAATGGCCTCCAGGGAGGATGTTTAAATGCAACTGGTTCATCAACTCCATGAAGTGGGCAAACTCCGCTACCATGCGGTCATTGCGGAGTAACGAAGGAAAGGGGAGAGTTGGGGTTGCTTCTCCCTTTTCTCGCTCCGGTTGAGGGGTCGGATTGACATCCTCTTTTTGAGGGGTCGGTTGAGGAGTCGGAGAGTTGAGGTTGCCTTCCCCTTCACTTGTGGCTTCCGGTTGTACAGGGAAGCCGGCCACTTGTTGCTCCTTTGTTGCGAGTTGTTTCTTCTTTGGGGGTAGTTCTTTGGCCTCTCTTCCACTTCGAAGAGTAACCGCTCCTACATCAACCTCGTCGGCTGACCTCCAAGAATGAGCCGCTTGTGAGATAATCCCTATGCTTGTGGCCAGTCTAATCAGGTGGGTTTCCTGGCTCTCCAACCCCGCCTCGATGGCGGAGAACTTCTCTGTTTCCTCTCCAATGAATCTGTCGAATCTTTCAAACTTTTTCGAGCTGGAGGCGACAAAGGTCATCACCACCTTCTTAAGGCGGGTCATTCGGTGACACTCTACTTCCTCTGGTCCCAACTTGTACCCTACTCCATGGGTGTTGTAGACACCACATTTTGTCAGGGTAATTTATTAATACTAATTATTGGTTAAGAGTGGTTGAGAACTCGATTTGTTTGGAATTGACAATAGTCACTTTCTAAACATTTCTTTATAGGATTAAAGTTTGGGACAAGTATGCTTGTAGCGGCCTATAAGATTAAGCAATAGCAAATCTTAAGAGGCTAATACGATTTAAGTTTACTTTTGGACTCACGGGCTTGTTTACTTTTGGCTAATACAATAACCACTAACCGAAGTTTGGATCAGTAATTCACATAATCAGAAAAGTTTAGCAATAGCTACCCTTAATCACTGTGTTGGGCTAATTGCAGTGTTATTAAAGCCAAGCCGAGCCGAGCCGCTCGGCCCGACCGGTAAAACCACCACCCGGTCACAAAACCGGCTCGGAACAGTCTAAAAGTCGCTCCGGTTTTATGTAGCGGTTGACGAGCGGCCGAGGCGGTTAACCGATCGAGCCGCTCATCCGGTATTTGCCATTCAGCCATTAAATTAAATTAAAAAAATTGCAGAAAATTGAAATAAACCTAAAACGTCGGGCTCTCAAACTGAATCCTTATTTCCATTTCACAATTTCGAAGGAAAGAGACGAGTTCTGATTAAGAAATATCCACTAATGCATACCGATAACGTTTATTAGGTACCGATTCTCTAACAATTTTTAAACGATCTAATGTCGGTTGGATCATTAAAGTGCAATCTATTCGCATTACCGAGTCATGCTCCGGTTCGGTTCTGCCAACATTGGTTAATTGGATGTGGGACTTTGTAAGGTTGGATCTCGACTTGTGAAACAATAGGCAATACAATAAAAATAAAACTTTCATTAATACTCAATAAATGATAATTAATTAATTACATTATATTATATTTACAAATTCAAAATAAAAATTACATAGTTGTTAGCCCAAGTCCAAAACCCAAGTCAAAATACAAAAGTCAAAGTGAACTTGGTCAAGCCAGTCTACCCAATCAGGCCTGACCAAGCCTGGATTTGTCTAACCCAAAACCAATACTGTAGCAAGCTTGTTCCCCAAGCTGTCTTTTCTATAAAAAAACGTCTCTTCTTCTCTCCCAAACTAACGGCCAAAGACCATTTTCTTCCTCTTGATCCTTTTTCTTCCTGCACAGATAACGAACCTCTGCCAAACCGAGGCTTCCTTTTCCTCAGAACACCCTTGTCTTCTTCCTTGCACTTCTCTACCTCCTAAACACACAGCCACAAACACAGACATAAACCCATCCACTTCCTCTCTCACCCACAAACAAAATACAATAAAACTTTCAGACTTCCATTTCCTTTCCTCTTAAACACCATACCAACAATCCCAACAACAAACAAAAAGTGCTTTCTTCTCTCATTCTTCACATTTTGCCAACCACAAAGGACAGAAAAGAGACCACTAAGTCTCATTTCTATTCCTTTCCTCTTCTCTTCCTTGGCCACACACAAAAAGCACAACAACAAAAACACCAAAAAAGGGGAACGGAGCAGGATTGAAGCAGCCAGCTAATTCCCCAGAAGGCTTAGGGAGAAGGCAACAAGTATACCATTAACCAAACGACACCGAAAAGGTTGGTGATCTAAATTAATTCCATCCCCAATTAATCCTCATTCATTATATTTTTCTACCTTTCTTAAAAACTTATAGAAAAAGGCACCATCACCCTTTTCTTTGACCTCATCCAAACCTGGACCAAACCCCCTAAACACCTTATTACCCCACAAAATACCATACATACAAAATTTCCATAATCAAACACTCAAAATACCAACACCCAGGTCATTCAAATTAACCCAAATGGCATTAACCAATCATAAACCCCAAAATCCCAAACACCACAGAAACCTTACCGAAATAGCCTTTTACCTTGCACACGTCGCCATCGCCACCGGCAAAACCCAGGACTGCCGGCAATGGTTATATTCTTTTCTTTTCACCCATCACAAACTCAAAGAACCAAATTTGACACTAAAGCAAATTAAGACAAAGTAACCACAAACAATAGCACTGTCGACGGTCTTTTCAAAGTTAACTTTCCACTTTGTTTGCTTTAACAAATTCTGGAACTTGAACCGAAATCCTGAGTTTTCTTGTGGTTCCAAGTCCCGCTCCCCAGCTCTAATATACAATTTTCACAGAATCAGAATTCAGAACCATCACACCAAATCCCCCAAATTTAGACCCGCAGCATTCAAACGAGAAATCAAAACACAAAACCCAGACCAAAACCCTAAACAACTAAAAACCCCACGAAAATCACACATGCCCTTACCTAGTAGAACCCTCCTGCTCTTTCACCATCGTTGTAGTCTCGGCGAGAAACGATTCACCTCCATCGCCGGAGGTTCCAAACATCCTTCCCCATTTCCCTTCCTTTCAGATACCTCATCCCCAGTAGAAAACAAACGCAATCAGAACCAGCACCAGCAACCGCAATCAAAATATACCAAATATTTCACCCACACACAAATTTCCACTTTCAATCACTATAAAACACAAAATTTCGGAACCTAACACGCCAATACCACAACCATTTCCATATTCAATCATCCCAAAACAGTAATAAAAAGCCTTACCTAGAAGAACCCCATTCTTCGTCTTCTTGGTCTCCCTCGTCACCGGTGAATCAGGGAGCGGCGACTCTTCCCCCTCCCTGCCGTCACCGGGAGTACTCGCCGGCCAGAACTCTTCCTCGCTTTCTTTGCTCCTCTATCAATCGCCGTTGGCGATCCCTTGCCTCCTGAAACTCTATCAGCAGCTTGCCTTTTTCATTCTTTTCCTCTCACAGAGATTGAAAAAATCCAGAATCAACACGCGAAAAAGATAGTCTGAATCCGAAATAAACCAATTGAACCCCCAAACCTTACCTTACATGAAATTACCTGGGTCGCCGTGAACGTCGTCGTCGACGTCAATCGCCGTCGCCATCTGGCCCTTCTCCCTCGTCATTTACCAGAAGAGGGAAGAGGAGAAGAAAGATCGGGGCGGCCGCCGACCCTGTGCCATCGTCGTTCCCTGTTTCTCGAGCGGAGCAGAGAAGGGAGACGATCGAAACAAAAGAGCAGCGGCGGTTTGACTTTGCCGCCGTCGATCTCCGTCGTTTGGTGGAACAAAATCGAGAAAGAGAGGAGAGCGAGGAGCAGAGGAAAACGAGAGAGAGAGAGGCGGCCGCTTGGTCGTTTAGGGTTAGAGCAGAATAGGGTTGGTTTTCTTAAGAGACGTTTATATACCTTGAAAATGACTAAAATGCCCCCTAGTCTCGGTTAATGAAAAAAACAAAATGAGATGTGCAGTTCAGAGATTCGAACCGAGAACCTTCCAACTACAAACATATACAGAGCAAACCAACTAACCGGTCATGCTACCACAAATTCATTTGATTAAGCTTAATATGCTAATCCATATTGATTAATCGTGTTAAGATCTTTTTTTTTACCGAGATAAGATTATCCCTTAATATTTTAAAATATTAACAATCTTGATTAATGTCCCCGTTTGGGCTTCTATTGTTCATACATATACTTACTTGGCTTGTAAATTTCTTTAATACGAAATCATGGTCGATAGACCGTGATAGTCATTCTCGATGGAATTCTTCCAAAGATAATCTGACATTCAATCACTAAATTGAAAAAAAACATCAATACATTTCCTAACAACTCAAAGTATCTTAATCACTATCAATAGAACATGTTTAAGATAAGTTCTTTCAAATCGCTCTTTTTAAACGAACTACGTGGACTTTGATCCCGACTTCGGGTACATAGGCAACCAATAGGTTCAAGTCCAACCAATCTAAAAAACATTTTTACGTCAATAGACGTAAATATTATCAAGTAACTACAATAATTCAAAATTTATGCTAATCATATCGTCCAATTCGACGATAAAAAATATGCCCAAAATAATTAAAAATAATTTAATGTTACGATTAAATTCATAAATAAGGCCCAAATAATAATACACCCAACCCTTAAAAACTTATCGATTTAAGTAGTACCAATATTGGGCGTTGTGGGGTGTGAATACACTTCCCCACACGTAACCGTACTCCCGAACCCATAATCTTAAGTTTCGCATACTAGATCCCGGTTCTGACCATAAAGTTGGAGCTGGACCAAAAGGTGTTCGTTCGATCCACCACAACTAAGATCGATGGCGACTCCGATCAATTCGCGACGGGTCCCCCGATTCGGAGTGGCAGTTGCGATTGTGGCGACTCCGCTGAGGACAAATTTTAAGAGTCGAGCTACATTAACTATGTTGATAAGTTTTTTTTACATCTGTTTGTGTGTTGGGTGTTTATTACATAATTGTGCTCTATACCCGAGCTCTCCCTTTAGAAATTGCAAGGTGTAACGTGACTCCTACAATAGTAGGGGATTACCGTGAAACTTGCTAATCAAGTTGAACTCAAATCCGAGGTTGATTTGAGGTATCCAGCTAAGTTTGAAAGAGCAATAGTAGGATACAACTTGGGTATTTCCCTACAACACTTTACCAAGCATTTAGTAAGCTTAGCATCCACCTAACACCATCTCGTATAAACCCTGTCGTCAAATCTTCCATCAATCGTATGTTTATTTAATTAGAGAATTGTTTTTTATTTAGTTTTTTTTTTTTTGCTTGTGATGTGATAATTTGTGAATTATCGATTACTCATAAGTAATGTGATTTTATTATGCACATAAAAGCTTTTCAAAATTCATGACATTAGCATTTCTCCTATTCAACAAAAATCATAAAAGATAAAATGCATGCATCCATTAAAGTCATCTTTGCATTTACGCATTCACATCAGTTGGCATAATAAGCATCATAGATACAAAATAGTTTAACAACAATAAATTTGCGAGGGTTCTTTAAAATTGCTTACTCACAAAGAAGAAATCAACCCTTAAGTACCAGATCCAAGGTTGTGCTCTTTATGGGAGTCGTTCCATAAGAAATTGGCCCAACGAAAGAAAACGCACAATTCTTCAAGAAATGGAGGTCAATGGGCATTTTATTGACGATTTTATCAACCAAGTTGTCCAAGCATCAACTACTACCCGCTACCCAATCATCGAAACCAGAATGCAAGCCACATACCAAAGCTTGATTCACTATTGATGCCAGTTTGCCATGTCGAGAGTTGTATCATATTTTTCTTCATCATGAGAATAAAAGGATTGTTCACATTTCTATTTGTATGGAACATTTTGTGACTACTTTCATCTCGATTTAGAAGTTTGCATCAAATATTTTCCTTTTTCCAAATGATTAAACATCCTTTAAAATCAACTTGTTTTCCCTAGAAAACCAAAAATCTGCTACATATTTTCGAGATAAGCCATGAGAATGCCATGCTAAGCAAACTACCTTTGTTCCCGGCCTGTTGGCCGGGTAAATTTTCCTTGTTATATTTCATAACTATACTTATATAATTTCAAAACTTCTAATTTCAAAACTTCTGGTCTTTAAGATACGTTTTTACAATTTCAAATTAACAGTAAACTTTCAATCGTGATTTAAAAGATACATATTTCTAAGACAACCAATCACCAATTAACGAATATTGGCCTATGATGAATTCTATTATATGCACATGTTAAAACTTCTACTAACATTATTCGCATGTACATATAATTAATTCTCCCTAATTTTTACACATGTCTTCAAAGGAGTTCTCAAAATTTTGTTGTGCAAATTTATGTTTAAACTGGCCAATTAAAACACGAAAAACTAACATCTTAAGCATGATACATTAATCAATGTTAAATGTCAAACACTATGTTTGAATCACATATACTAAGTAAGATGTGTGTTCCTTATAAAAACTAATGCATGTCATTGAATATTATTCATTATTGGTGTGATAACCAAAACAACACTTCATATCAGGATCACTGTAAAAACTAAACCCTAGTGGTTATATTAAGAGAATAAAGTGTACCTGTAAAAGACAAATTTCGGCTTATATAAAAACCAATCATTCCCCTCTGTAGCACCATGTCGCCGCTGCTGTGACCTCCATCTCCCTCGTCAAACTCTTTTTATGTCTGCATATCGGAATTCCTTACCCTCTGCCTCTCCGACCCACTGTCGGAAGTCGCCGGGAGCCCTCCACTTCGTTTCCACGGTCTGCCTGGATATGAGTCGTCATATCCTTGTATCGTTCCTTGCATCCGCACGCCACTGTTGTGGCCGCCAATCGATGGCAAACAATTTCAAACACCTCGACTGAGGTAACTTTTTCCGTCCAATTGAAGGTTGGAGGAGGTGATGTTTTTGGGATTTCCGGGGAAAAAAGAAGATAGAACGATGTGCAAAGGGAAGTCTCTGGCAGTTAAGGAGAAGGAAGGAAGGAGTGAAGGCAGTTTTCCTTGAGGGACAGAAATTTTGGCCGCTCGCGGTGGAAACTGGAAACAAATAAATAAAGGGAAAAGGATCGAAAAGGAGAAAGATAGATAGTGACGTGGACAACCTCTCCTTTCACTTGGGATTACGTGGCTTGGGGTCTAAAATCAAAATGCTTTAATAATTTTTAAGATTTAAGATAAGATATGAACACCCTACTGGTTTTGAGAGTTTAAACACTCCACTGATGTCTATTGACAATAAACACCCTACTGGTGTCTAGAGGTTGATCACGCACGCGAACTCCTCTACCAAATGATCACGCGAACGAGCTCGCTGCGACATCACTCCTCTTATTCCCCCCGCTGCAAGGTCATCAACGGTTGCCATTATATGTATCAATAATTTCAATACTCGGCCCAACGAGCGATAGCTCTTCTTTTCCTTTCTTGAGATCAATCATTTATATATAGAGAGAAGTTGCAGAGCTGCAGATATCTCTTTCTTTGTGATTGTGCTAATTGGAGGCGTGTCGGGGAACAAATTAAATGAGAGAAAAAAAGGCACGCGATACCTTGATTTTGCTTGAGTCCAAAGGCACCTCGATCTGTTAGGATAGAGAATATTTTTTTCAATAACATTTACTTCATTTCCTTCCAAACGATCAGGTGGAAAATAACTAACAATAACATTGTAATCCGATCGTGTGAGAGATAACTGAGTTGTACATTGTGAACAACCCAATCCATAATCCTGCTGTATTTTCCCAAGCAGATTTCGGAATTAGAAAGTTTTCGGCGTTAGAAAGTTTCTGATTCTTTTCCTTTGGAATTACGTCAAGCACAGGGAATTGCGGTCAAGATGCAGTGCGGTCTAAACCGTACCAAATCGTTAATCTATGCGGTTTGGTTTGACCGTACCGATAACTTTGCGGTCAAAGATGTGGTGCGGTTATATGAATGTGGTAACAGTGCGGTTGATATGAATGTTGTGCGGTGCGGTCCGAACCGCACCAATGCCCACCCCTAGTTGCTAACACCTCTTTTGATGAATGAAGATCTCAACGATTCATAATAAAAAATTACCGTGTTTAGTTTACTTCGAGTCTTCCACTCTGAATCTATAGGTATAAGTTACACCATAACACAACACAAGTAACATCTCCCTTACACATATAACACGTACAATCATATACATACATCGCTGAGTAAAGTAAGCTAAGAAACCATGCAAGGTAGGGTAGGTATAGTCAAACTTCCATGTATATATATATCTATGCAGCCGGTGGTGAAATGCCAAACTTTGGAGCCATCAACACTCCAAATGCAAACGCAATCACGGCCACCGTCACAATCCCTTTGTGTTCGCCGATCATCTCAATCACTCTCCTCATTACTGAATTCGAACTTCCCTCGCAGTCTCTCTCCCACCATTTCTCCACGTCTCCTTTACCGAACTCGGCCACAGCAGTATTCGTGCAGCTACATCCTGCCGCCGCGATCCTCTCACCATCAGGATTGCTACCGGCCGGTAATGGAGATCCTGGTGCAGCCGCTGCCGGTACGTGCTTGGGGACAGTGACGTAGAGGATCTCGCCGTCGAACTTGCCGGTGATCCTATCGGTGTCGGAGATCCCCTCGGGCAGTTGATAGGTTTGGTGGAAGTAGACGTACTTGTTGTGGTTCAATAGCCGCTCTCCGGCCACCGTTATCTGCTTCCCTCCGCTGTCCACTCGAAGGCTCACCTCCTCCTTTCTAAACCCTACAACCAGGACAAAAAAAATATATATATATATATATATATATATATATATATATATATATATATATATATCCGGGGGAGGGAGTCAAAGGTAAAAAGGTGCCTCGCCTCGCGTGGTGCGGCGTTAGTTACTTTCTAAGCCATCTAAGAAGAGGACTAGCTTTCCATTCCGAAAGCATTCCAAACCCTACCGTATATTATATATATATATATCACAACCAGGTTTGAACGGTTAACCTCTTTGGAATCAAATGCTCTAGCGGTGAGCTATAAAGACATTATTACTGATGATTATTTTACGGTAACTAGGTTTAATCAATGCCCCTTTTGTTGTGTTATAAAATATAGGTACGAGAAAGTCAATTTGACACTTAGAACTAGTGATAGGTGAATCTCCTGGGGTCTGATTACTCGAAAGGTTATGAAGCAATTGTAGATCCGGTCATCAGCCCTTTACCTGAGACCTGCGAAAGAGCCGAAGAAGACCGGGTGGGGCGGGGCGGGTAACTCAATATCCATGCCCCGTCCCACACTACTAGTGGACGGGACGGGTAACTCAATACCCATGTCTAGTCTCACGTTATTAGGGGATGGGCCGGGGCGGGTAAAATCCGTGCGGGTACGAGGCGGGGCGTGTCGACCAACTCTCACACGTTATTTCTAAAAAAACACACGCAAATTTTACTTTTTATGATAAAAAGAAGGGGAAAACACTTTATGAATGAAAAATAGTTACAATAGAATGAGTAACTGAGTCGAACCAGTTGAAAGATCGACTCTAACTAGTTGGAGAAAAGTCAAAATAGGAGAAATATGTGTAGATATTGTAAGAAATTGAAGTAGAATGGGCCAAGAACGGGGCGGAGCAGGACAGGGCGGGTCTAAAGTAGATACCCATACCCCTCCCCATGCTAGTACGGGTCGGGTAATACCCGTCCCATCGCGGATCAGGTCGGATAATACCCGCGAGGCGGATTCAAATTGTCATCGCTACTTACAACTTTCATAATTTGGTGAGTCCATTACTTGAACGTTGTTTTTTTTAACCCGATACACAAATCCTTATTTTTAGTCATCGTAGCATATAGACTTTTTATTTGTGACATGTCTTTAACCAGGGTTAAATGTATCATATGCCATATGCAATTTATAACATATTAAACATTTGCGACTCATGAAATTTTTTCCCTTAACTTGTTCTCGCACATATGCATAGTTTTTTCTTCCTTTCATTTCTTTTCCGAACTTTTTTACGAGTTACAAATTCTTAATATATAGTGTATGACGCATTGACATGAGATGTGACTCTTGTAATTAATGCTGGAAACAATATTCATATATCGAAATAGCCTAATCAGTAAAAGACTAAAAGTTCAAGGAAAACAAAAACACCATTGTTTACGTACCAGGAAGATCTATAAGGAGATAGTGTGAGTGATTGTCGTCGTCCCAAGCCGAGGAAGGGACGAATTCCTCTACCAAATGATCACGCGAACGAGCTCGCTGCGGCATCACTCCTCTTATTCCCCCCGCTGCAAGGTCATCAACGGTTGCCATTATATGTATCAATAATTTCAATATTCGGCCCAACGAGCGATAGCTCTTCTTTTCCTTTCTTGAGATCAATCATTTATATATAGAGAGAGAAGTTGCAGAGCTGCAGATATCTCTTTCTTTGTGATTGTGCTAATTGGAGGCGTGTCGGGGAACAAATTAAATGAGAGAAAAAAAGGCACGCGATACCTTGATTTTGCTTGAGTCCAAAGGCACCTCGATCTGTTAGGATAGAGAATATCTTTTTCATTGACATTTACTTCATTTCCTTCCAAACGATCAGGTGGAAAATAACTAACCATAACATTGTAATCCGATCGAGAGATAACTGAGTTGTACATTGAGAACAAACCAATCCATAATATCCTGCTGTATTTTCCCAAGATGCTGGCTGGTCATGGTTGAGAAGTGGGCATAGCAGCACCACTTCATATAATTAGGAGTCGGGTCACCTCTCATGCCTCAACCAATGGCTTGCAATCGGATAAGATGATTGTCAGGAAAGTATCAATGGTTGTCAGTTTGACTCGTCTCCATGAGAGCTCGAGTCTTGGCCTCAATCGAGGATCAACAAATAACCATTTTAACTCGTCTCCACAATAAGATTCTCTCGAGATTTCTCATAAAATTGTAAAAAACCATTTGATTCCAATAACACGAGTTATTGGTAGATTGTTCAATTATGGATCTTATATCATTCACTTTTCATTTTAGTTCATAAATAAAGGTTGGAGCGCCTTCTAAGCGCTCCGTTTCTCACATGAAAAAAAATTATATTATTGTTGATCAATAGAAAACAGTTTATCTTTGCATATTTGTTATTCAACTTAGTAGTTTCGTAGATAATTGGAGTTGTTCTTCTCATTAGGGAGAGTCTCTACTCAAGAGTGTCGAGCACTTATCCAAAGTCCTTACCATTAAAATGTTTGGCTTACGTAAAGGTAAGGTAAATGCCTCTGCTACTCTCCCTTTGGGCTTTGTCGGCGTGGATCCTAGACCCTTCTGTTGTCAGTAGGGTTAAATTAGTACGTTATCGGTATTCCAGTACCAGATACTAAAATCTCGAATACAAATAATACCTCCGCTACTCTCCATTTGGGCTTCGCCGGTGTTGATCCTTAAAATTGTTGTTGTCGGTAGGGTTGAAATTAGTACAGTATCGATATCCCAATACCAAAATCTCGAATACAAATAATGCCCTAAAATAAATCTCAACCCCAATCCCAAAATAAATTTGGTATCTAATCCCAAAGTCAAAATATTTTGGTATGGTATCGGTATTCCTAGATACCAAATAATTACTTTCGCACTTAATTAATAATTAAAAATTTACATAGTAAATAATGATTCGAACACCTCTAAACCTGTATAGTTTTATAAGACCTAGGCTTGTAGGTTTAATTTCATGATTGAAAACCTTGACTATGGAAAGTTTAGTGGAAAAAGTCTAATAAAAACTAATCAATGCATTCTATCAAATCTCAATCGAATGGATTTATTATAGGTGCTCATTAGGTGCTACAAGACTAAGCAAAGATTTTTTAGTTTTCTTAACTTAAGCAATCAGAAAAAGAAGGAAAATCATGATATCTCAATTTCTTGCTCATTATTGAGTTTGCTTAACATAAGGCAAAGAAAAAAGAAGGGAAAATGGTGATATGTAAATTTATTACTCATGACAATCTTTGATTTTATGGAGTGTAGGTTGAGGAAAGACTAATAAGAGTGCCATTTTTTAATCTTAAAAATAACAAAAGATGAGTGAGAGACAAGGGTTACCTGTAAAAACTTGGAAGCTAAGCCTGTTGGATTGGATGGGGGCTTGCCGGTTGTCAAAGTGTGAGCAATAAAAGTTTTGGTTATAATTAATTAATTGTCAATTTTAATATATACCAATAGCAATCTCATAATCTGTAACGACATATAATAGTCAGTGGTCGAGGAAGATCATCACAATGGTGCAAAGAATCCCCATCATGGCCGCAATCGAGAATAAGAGCGTCGACAATCCTAACCTCGCCATCAAATAATTAATACAATCTTGATTATGCCTTTTCTAAGACTTATTTTTCCTTTTTTTCGAGGGGATTGGCTTCTAATCATGAGCAAAGAGTCTTGAGTTTGCTTAAACCTAAGGAAAAGGACAAAAAGAAGGAAAAATGGTGATATCTCAATTTCTTACTCGTGATTTTTTTAAGGGTTAATACCTTAGTTTGGCCCGGACTATAGACAAACTTTCTACTTTGGCCCGTGGTATTGGAAATTGCTATTATGACCTAAACTATGTAGCATACTTCCTTCAGTTGACCGTTAGTCAAGGTCCACATCACTTGCCACGTCAGCTATAAGGAAATAAAAAAGTAATTTTTTTAATTTTTGAATTTTTGAATTTTCTAATAATAAAAATAATAAACCAAAAAAATTAATTAAAGAACCAAAAAAATTAATTAAAGAACCAAAAAAATTAATTAAAAGAGGTCCCCAAATTATCCCAGCCCCTCTTTTAATTAATTTTTTGGGTTTCTTTAATTATTTTTTTTGGGTTTATTATTGGAAAGTAAAGAAATTAAAAAACATATTATTTATTACCTGATAGCTGACGTGGCAAGTGAGGTGGACATTGACTAACGGTCAACTCGGTTGACCGTCTAATTTGACGGTCAAACCCGCCTCTGGGCCAAATAAGGAAGTATGCTACATAGTTTAGGCCAGAATAGCAATTTTCGATGCCACAGGCCAAAGTAGAAAGTTTGTCTATAGTTCGGGCCAAACTAATGTATTAACCCTTTTTTTAATTACCCGGGAACCTCAACCCCACGTGTTACTTTGTCACAGCGGGCCTACTAAACATCATAAGCAAAGAGTCTTGTGTTTTTCGTAAACCTAAGGAAAGGATAAAAAGAACGAAAAATGGTGATATCTCAATTTCTTCCTCATGATTTTTTTTATTACCTAGGAACCTCAGCCTCACGAGTCACTTTGTGACAACAGGGCCTACTAAATCTGGGGGCCATCTGCAATCAATTCGACGCCAATGGAGCTTCGTCACCAGCAGCTTCATACCTTCGGGAACACCAACGGGCCTCTCTTTGATCGAACCTGGCATCTGCAACTCCCATGCCTTCATTGTCGCGGAAGCTTACCATTAGCTATCTTACCTTTGGTCAATTTCTTGGTCATGATAATCTTTGATTTGATGGAGTGGAGGGTGAGAAAAGACTAATAAGGGTGCTCGTTTTTCGATCCCGAAAACAACAAGAGATGAGTGAGAGACAAAGGTTATCCAAGAAAACTTGGAAGCTAAGCTTGCTCGAATGGATGGGGGCTTGCCAGCTTTCAAAGTGTGAGCAAATACTAGAAGTTGTGAATTTTATTAAATTAGTTGTCAATTTTGGTATATTCCAATCTTAACCTCATAATCTGAAATACTGAATAAAATCGCAAAATCAATCTCAATCACTAAAAAGCTACTCGATATTCAGTAATACCAACTAATGAGTAATAAATTCGACCGATAATATCTCAAATAACAATACCAAACTTCCAACCTAAGTTATCATCAATCCCTTCTACTATCTACTCTATTCGCCAGTTGACCACATAAAACCATCTGACAAGAATTTTGTCATATTTGTACAACTCTCTTAAATCTTGTATGTAGATGTGTTTCGATCCGACGAACGGTACGGTCAATAACAATATTAATAATGTAAAAGACTTAATAAAGAATACAGTAAACATGCAAATTCAAGGAAGCATGAAAAAAACACTAGAAGATCAAATTACCTGCATTCACTTGAAGCCTCACCCTTAATTTCGCATCCGATCTTTCATCTCTACTTCTCTTTAATTTCCATCTATTTTCTTACCCTCTTATCTTCCTCCAAAATTGAATTTAATCTTCTTCCCTTCCACGCCAGATCGAGCACATTTCCAAAGAGGCTAGGGCCCTGCAGCTTCAACATTAATTTTCTATCTTGATCTAACTACCAATCTCCTTAAGAGCAACCAAAAACAAATTTCAAACATACTTTTTTACGTCAATAAAAGTTACGTTAATTTTATTTTCTTGATGAGAAATAAGGAAGGACAATAGATTTGATTTGAAAAAAAAAAGAAGACAGAAAATATAGAACGGGAGAAGGGATCGATGGGGATCACTTTAGTTTTTGTGTTTGTGGTAACATCACTTTGTATCGTCACAACTCCATCGACATCATCAGAGGTGGCCGACGGGAATCCCGGTCAAGTTAGCGATCAAGAGTACTGGAGTCGGCGAGCGAAGGAGGCTCACGAAAATGCTCAGGCAGCCTACCACCCTGACCCTGTCCAAGTCACCAACCATCTCAATGGCCAAGTACACGAGTAGGTTCCTTTTCCCTCCCCGATCTATTTTTTTTTTTTTGTTTCAATAATAATATCTTTTTTCCTAATTTCCTCATGCATCGATGAACAGGGCTTTGTCGGGAGACAACAACACAAGGCGAGGGCTGGGCCAAAAATCAGGAGGAGGGAAAGGGTCGCTGTGCCAGGCCACCAACCCCATCGACCAGTGCTGGCGCTGCGACAGAAACTGGGCCGCAAACCGCAAAAGGCTAGCTGACTGCGCCCTGGGTTTCGCCCGCAACACCACGGGCGGAAAGGACGGAGATTTTTACGTCGTCACCGACCCTTCCGACGATGACGCGGTCAACCCCAGGCCCGGAACCCTCCGCCACGGTGCCATCCAGAACCGCCCGCTCTGGATCACGTTCGCCCGGCCCATGGTCATATCCCTAACCCAAGAGCTCATGGTCAACTCCAACAAGACCATTGACGCCCGCGGGGCCAACGTCCACATCGCCAACGGCTGCCAGCTCACCCTCCAGTTCGTCGACAATGTCATCATCCACGGCCTCCACGTCCACGACACCCAGCCCTGCTCCGGTGGTATGATCCGCAGCTCCGAGGACCACTTTGGGTTCCGCACTCGCAGCGACGGCGACGGTGTCTCCCTCTTTGGTGCCACCAACATCTGGATCGACCACCTCTCCATGTCCAACTGCGCCGACGGCCTCATCGATGTCATCATGAAGTCAACCGCCGTCACTATCTCCAATTGC